AAAATTGGATGCAGTGTGAATCCAGCATTTGTAGCGTCAAGTGGACCGCAATCTATATATATTAAGGGGATCCTAAAAGTGCCTTTTCATTCTGATGCTCGACGCTCATTTTCATCGTCAAAATAGGTCACGAGATCAAAACTAACGCTTGATATTCGTCAATTTTTATCACGTGATTTATATTGACGCCAAAAATGAGCGTCGAGCGTCAGCATGAAAATGTACCTTAAAGCGAAACTCGAACTCCGACAAAGTCACTAGATGTCGCTGTTTTTCCAGCGCATCCATAATATAAAGACAAGAGGTCTGTTCGCGTTGCATGAAATCCCCAAATATTTTTGCACTTAAAATGAGATAGATATATATTTGGCCTTGAAAAGAGAGAAAGCGAAGATGCCGAGTGCCAAAAGTGCAAGCAACGCGAACAGACCTAATGGTATGCTTATGCGCATTGATAAATCACGTGATAGTCAGCGACCAATCAGAATTGTCATCAGCTACGTCATCATTATGCGGTGAATTCGAAGTTATTATGGCTGCTTTCCTTTTAGGAGACACAAATCGACACAGTATAACACACTTAAACACAGTTTGCCACACTTAAATGGAACGCCATATGTGTATCGTGTGTACGAACTTTTAATACCTAAAAGATTTGAATTTCCTTAATGGACACACGAGATCCGATTATTTCTTTAAAATGAACGCAATAACGAATATTCTGATGGAAAATAACAGTAGTAGCAGCAGCAGTAGCAGTAGCAGCATTACTAGTAGTAGTGAATATGAATTTTCAACTGATGATGAACAAAATCATGATATTCTGTTTCCAATCCTACAAATGCTTAATATAAATTATACAAATTCTTAATATATAATACTTAATAATACTAATACTAATACTAATAATACTATAATATTATAATACTAATATAACACTATAATACTATAATACTATAATACTATAATACTATAATACTATAATACTATAATACTAATTAAGTATATAATACTTAATACAAATTCTTAATATAAATTATAAGTATATAATACTTGCCATTATAATGTTTTATTAACATTCGTCGACTTAAGTACCGAGACACTTCAATATCTCCAGATATTAACAGAACAAAATGATGGAAATTGATTTGCGGGTGCGTTCTAATATCACTTAATTCATAAAATCACACTTGAACAGACTCGAAACACACTCTGACTCTCCTCCCGAGCAGAGGCGAAGTGTGTCGATTGAGTTTGAACAAAATTGTAAATGGAATGTGTCCAGTGTGTCGACTGTATCTCCTAAAAGGAAAGCAGCCTATATAATTTCCTTCCTATACACATTATAGAAAGTTACTGTTTTGCCATTATAGGCGTCATAGCATAAAAGACATTTTATTGTGAATTTTCTATTAATAATATATACATTAATATATATACACTACGCGCATAAATTAAAGCATCACCTCTCACACCTTCGAAAAATGGGTAAACTTCAAAGAAGTGTAACTTCTACAAAAATGGTCAAAATGAGATTTAAAAAAAAACATTTTGTAGCTTGAAATCTCTACTTTCCAAATCTGTATAATGAAATAATGATTCCGCGATGATATTTACGGAACTACATGATTATAAAGGAAGATCCGTAAAATCTCAAAATTTTTTGTAAACTTTGCACAGTGTCATGCCGTGAATGAGAAGTCAGGCACAAATACAATTCACAGCTTTTGAAAGCGTGATCCTTTACCTTTAATTTACTTTTTTTTTACCTCTGTACAATTTTTTTTTACCGAGTTATTCAACATTGAAGTAAAAATGGTCCCTTTGACTTTGACTGCTCATAAAAGACGAATGGAGTGACGTACAGCATTTTTTAAAAAAGCAAAAAAAAGTTCAAAGTTTTCTCTTTAAGATGCTTTTATCAATTTTTAGACATAGATAGGCCTTTTATGTAAAAACTTAAGTGAAAGGTAAAGTTGAAAACTGAGACAATTACCTGTTTCTATTCAACTCGATCTATTCTGATCAAAAAGAGAGAGAAACCCTATGATATTAACGTAATTTTACACTTTAGGGTCTACTGATTTTAACGAGACTCATACAAAACAGTTGCGACATTTTAAAACTAATGTCCTTCATGTTCGAAGTTACGATTTTGGGCAAGACATTTGTTGATTTGAATTTAATCATATATCGCAGCATGCGATCACACCGCTGGCATTAGCGTTATCCGAAGCGTACCACGTGGAGGTTGCACAGTCGGATTTACGCTTCTTGTGTTTGTGTGCGTGTGCGTGTACGTGTGCGCGCGCGCGTGTATGTATGCTGCGTGTGTGCACACACGTGTGTGTGCAAATGAAAAATTAAATTTTAATATGCGGTATTGCTGCCTCTATTATAAATTACGTCTCTTAAACGTTGTTGCATGTTTATGCACCGCCGGATCGCTGCTTGCGGAATTTGATGCCAAACTTGAC